AGCTTAACGAATGCAAATTAGGAGTTAGAGAAAACACTCCAAAGTTATCGAAAAGAGCGTAATTCTAAAGTAAAGATTCAATCACCTATCATAACATCCTCAGCAAGTCCTTCCCTTAAATCAAATTTATTCTATAGCATTTTTGTTTAATGTAACATTATTTCAACGTCTTCCACTACCGATTTATGAAATCAGCTGTCAGTTGCATGCCTTATCGTCTAAATGTTCGACGAGCTATTATAACGAAATACTTGGGTCAGAAATTACCTATTTCTTATCCTACTTCCAATCAACCATTCTAGTCTTCTAACCTCACGATTTCCAAACATTCTATCTCGCTATAAACTTTGTCTGGGAGTTTTACATGGTCGATTGTACTTTGGTACGATAGGAGTAACCAAAGATAACTCCCACTGCTAAAACTACAAAATGTGGTTTCTCGAGCGACCGAAAAGTACTCTAGAGTTTGGGATATAAACATCCAGGGAAAAGTGTAGAAAAAAGCAACAAAAGACATAACTGGAAGCTAACCGAAAACGAAGCGCGCTTCTGTGGTTTGCTCACTGCGACAATATCTGGATGTGCAGATAACACCAACAAAGGCGTATTCTGTTGACAAAACATCACTACACATCGAAGCGAACGCCCAACTTTAGTGATATCTCTGCGCAAGCGAGGTGGTAGATGACTTCTGGCAACAAATCCTCGAACATCTGAATGATGCAAATAAGAAAATACACTCTATGGCAATAAAACGATTTCAAATGCTTTTAAAACATAGAACCGCAGAGGAAACCAAAGCACACACCATTTCCTAGATTAACATAAATCCCAGCTGTGACCGTGGGCTCAGGATCTGGCTCGCAGTCCACAATTGTACCAGGCATGAGATGATTCAGCTGCAAGCTCTCACATGCTTCTAAGCTGAGATTATCCTGCAAGTTGAGGAGAAATTTGTTTAACAGGAACTGCGACTATACTGAGAAGGGATAAGTGCCACATATATGGGTATAATACCTGTTCTATAAACGAAGTAACCATGATAACTCTCGAAGTCTTTCCAGCATCGATACGAACGATGATAGGTTGACCCTTTCGAACTGGACCTTGCTGATTTTTATTAGGGAGAAAAGCTTGTACGGATTGCAGTCCAATATCAAGCAAAGCACCTAAAATATCGGATAAATATACGAAAATAATATCATGTGAAAGCAATACCTTTCTCTTCTAAACTTTCGACGATGGCATGTAGAACAAGGCCAGGAACAAGTCTACTAGGAGACAAATGAGCGTTGAGCTTTGCAGGATCGCAGCTAGCGATTGGCAAAGAGAAAGATTTCTTTTTAGCATCTTGGCTCTTTTTCTTTGCAGCTCAAATATCCATATAAACTATGCAGTTCGATAGCAAAAATCCTAAGCAAGTAAATACAAGATAACAGCTTACCTGTTTCCTCACTCTTTTGTGTTACACAAAATGGGACCAATTGTCCAATAACAAAAGCAGACTCTAATGAAATATCTTCCGTCTTCAATAAATCCGTGAATTTTTTTGAAACCTACAACGGTAATCGTTAATAAGCAAGATGAAAGAACACGTATGCAGTAACAGACCTGGGTAGCTGGTAACCTGACACGGCATGAATCCGCAGTTTCCAAAAGTACATGATCTTCGTGCACCTGGAGCAAATCCCATAGAAATGAATAAATAGTTGCAAAGGATAAGAGATGCAGGACAAGGGATTTTTTATGAAAAGCAAACCGTGATACATGGGAGTAAATGATATTTGTTGCTGCATGAGTTGAATTACAAAAATGGTCATCTGCTAAGCAAGACCTCTGTAAGCTTTTCTATAGAATTGAAGACTACTATACTTCTATCAAACCGGAGTTAAATAATCGTCGTACCCATATTGGAATAAAAAATATAGCCAGATTACAAACCTCGATCACAACTCCAAGGCCCATTACACCTTCACTAAGAAGTTCCAGCGTCATCGGCTTGCTCCAGACAGCA